CAGACCTGCATTGCTGGCAACTAGCCTGTGGTTTGAAAAACTGATTTTCACCCTGGCCTTGTCCTCTGCCCAGATGTGGGTGTAAGTGCACCTGAGTAGCTTCCTGCCAGTTGGAAGCGGTTATTATACATGACTTCTCTGTGATTCCCACATGCCACCGACCCTGCACACAATATATGTGCATGCAGCGACGTTCTGAATTGACGTCTGCAAGGCACTGATTGGACTTTTTCTCCTCAGATGCTACTTCAGATGCCCAAGACTTGGCTCTGAATTGGGCTGACACCGGGTACCTGATCCGATCACATCTCTTTAATTTAATCAGTAACCTCCTCTCTGTGTCAGGATAAATGAGGTTGTATGTCAGCTGAGCATTCATGCGCATCTTTTTTTTAGGCTTTAATCTTATTTTTAGAAGGTTTCTTGTCACATTATTGTTGACGCTGCTCCTCTCCAACTTCTTGTAATGTCTCAAAGCAACTTCTCACGTAAGTCAGGAAATGTCTAAATCTGTTTAAAAAACCAAAATTGTAGAGTGATCTTCGGCTAACGTTAGCTCAACATAAATGTCGCTGTTAATAACCTGATTCACAGTAATCGCTGCCTTCATAGTTAAAGTGGTTGTAGCATCAGCTGTAGGACAGATGACAGAAGTGACATCCCAAGGAAACTTCACACAACATGTAAGGGAAGTGATGCTTTTTCTCTGCTCAACACGACACTAAGCCATCATTTAACTTTATCTCCTGTTTTTATTGTGCCATAGTAGTTCCGTGTGTGTGTGGTGTGTGTGTGTGTGTGTGCGCGCATCAGAGAGAGTTTAATGGAGGTGGGCTGGAGTTTTTAGCCCGTGCAAGGCTCTATTGGTCAGAAAAAATAATTGAGTACAATAAAAACGCCTCATTCTAATGTAACTAAAACACAGTGATACTTATTTTCCGATTATTATGATTATTATATTCCATTTGTGCCAATAGATTCTGCAAAATTAATATAACACATTAAACTGATAATGAAAATTGTGATTAGTTGCAGCCTTAATCAACAGCAACATTAGCTCATTGCAGCAAATTGAACCGAGCAAAATAGCGAACTATGGATCGGTCACTCTGGACCAATACCCGCTCTCTAATCAGGTTAGTACTGGTGCCGATACACTCCTCAACATAAAAACACACCTATTCATGTGCAGACACACATTTACAAGTTCACACGCAGACATGTACAACAGACCATAAACACAGCTGCAAGCACTCGTGTGCACACACATTTCAGCTCACAGCATCTCACTGCATCTCCTCTGTGCACGCCAATCTCCATTTCAACCCCATCTCGGGTCACTGTTCTTTTCCACTCTCTCCTCCGCCAATCCGCCGTTGTCTGCCAGCATTTTCAGGTTATATGAAGCAGGTAGGCAGTCTGCCAGTCTGCAGGAGGCCTTCGGAGACAGGAGCTCAGACAGCGCTTCCTTGTTTACTTTCATGAGTTGTTGACTGGCCACCCTGCCGTGGCTGATGCAGTGTCAGAGCGTGTCAGAAAAGGCCTACTGCGGATTGAAAAGGCATCAAAACATTATTGTGGGGCCCGGCCGTTGAGTGGCAGTCCAAGAAATGAGGGAGTGCATCCTCTGGATACTTGTAGAGGTGTGTGTGTCTGTGTTTGTGTGTGTGTGTGTGTGTGTGTGTGAAAGCCTCGCACTGGTTCAGAGCTCCTTTCCTCTGCTTTGTTCTCTGTAGTATACTCTTTTTCCAAACATCGTATTATAGGTGTGAAGGATTAGAGTTACGCTAATTGCGAGGTTATGAATGGAATTATGTCTCCCTGAGGTTGCAGAACCGTTTCTGTGATAATAGCAGTCTTGTTATTCATATATCAAGATATGCCAGCGAGCCTTTTATAATGAATGTGCCGTGAAGACTTCGCTGCCTCCGTTGTATTATTTCCAGTGTGAAAAATGTAGAGATCTTATGTCTGGTTTCAAAGAAAGCAGCTTTTTGGGGAAGAATCCGGGTTCAAAAGCAGCAAATTTAGTCTTTGAAGCCAAATCTGCTCGTTTATGCTTGAACACAGAGATGATGACAAAATTGCAACAATTTTTTGTGTAAAAAAAAAAAAAAGGGCCAGTGTCGTATTCTTTGTTTAAAAAAGTATTTGACTGAAATTACAAACGCTTGTGGAATCATCTCATTAATACGGAGTAGATGATGACCGAGTTATTTCAAGACTTGCTCGTCAGAGTAATGAGGCGTAGCCCATGTAATACACACACATTCACAGGCACACAGACACAGACGCAGACACAGACAGAATCAAAGTGAAAGTCAAAGAGAGAGAGAGAGAGAGAGAGAGAAAAAGTGGGAGAAAGGAGAGAGAGAAAAGAGTGAGAGAGCTTAAAAAGCAATGAGAGCCCCCCAGAGAGAGAGAGACAGAGACAGAGAGAGAGAGAGAGAGAGACTGGAAGGCTTCCAAATGTTCCACTCTGGAATATCTTCAAGGACAATCAGCTAAACAGTTAATATTAAGAGAGCTGTGTGAAATCGATTGCTCAAGGTGTTATCTGCGCTGCAAAAATGGCTGGTAATTAGTCATGGCTAAAGGAGTGTTACCGAGAGAGTGAGATGGATTTAATCTTAATAGATTTCACTGCACTGCAGATACAGTAGCTCCTGAGTGAAAGAGCTCTCCTCTTTCTCTCTCTGGCCATGAATCAGAAGAAAGGCAGCTGAGCAAGTAGCTGTGATGTACTGCTGTTGCTAAATTTACCTGAACCTTCAAATGTAGATGTTTTTGCCCGAGTTACTTGTTCAAAGGCAGCACATATTTGGCAGCTGTACCTGTTTTTATTCTGGCTCTTCAGCAGCAGCGGCTCGGGAGCCATTATTTGTTTATGTATACAGCTTGTGCAATGAGGTACTTCAGTCCATGGCAGCTGTTGACTTAGAGATCTTGACAAAGCATTCAGAGGTAATCAGCAGACAAAGCCCTCAGTGACTGACAGGGAGATTGGGTTGTTTGCTCCTCTGTGATATACCTGTACACCCCCTGGAGCAGGCCAGATGTGTTGGTTTAGCGATTAGCAGAGGCTAGGAGTGATGAAGTCAACTAAAGCACTATTTGTTGAGCGGTCAGCGGGCAGGTGGGAAACTGTCTATTATATGTTAGAGAAAGAAATTCCTGAAGTAAAATGTGGCTTTGAAACGTTTATTAATCCTCGTCCAATACAAACTCTAAACATGCTGTTAAAGAAAAAGGCAGGTGTTATTTTATGTTGTTCTTATTGTTAGCAAAATCCATTAATAAAACAATGTCCTGTCTATGGGACTCAACCCCAGGCCCATTTTTAGTTTATCTTTAATATTTGGCAGCGCTAGCGGCGTAGCTGTGGGTATGGCAGTGTTGGTGATTCAGTCCATTACTTTGGTTCCGACTGAAATGTTGAATGGATTGTCATAACACTTTGTACAGACATTCAGGGTGAATGAACTCTAAGGATTGTGGCGATCCCCTCACTTTTTATCTGGTGCACCTGCAGGTCATTTTTTTAATTTATCCAGTACTCTGGTTTATGACCAAATACATGCAAAACTCTTGGTTGTACTTTGTTTTTAATGCTAATTAACATATGTTAGCATTCTAACATGCTAAACCAAGTTATTGAACATGCTAAACATCAGCATGTTAGCATTGTCACTGTGTGCAAAATGAAAACAATAGACACATAAACCCCTTGTACATTTCTGTGTAATGTGAATGCTGTATTTCCACTGTGAAGTGATTTGTGACTAAAGATAAAATAGTTGCCGCTGCGGTAACTTTCCAAACTTGTAAAATCATGTCTGCGAGTATTATAAATTGCTGTGTAGCAACACAGCCCCACCAACACAACCTCCTGTGCCATTTTATATATATAATCCTACTATCATATATTGAGTATACACCACTATTTATTATTGACTATGAGCTTATCAATTACTACGCACATAGACGCTGCCTAGCTGGCTGGTAGACTAATAGGATCAGTATGCTCCCTCTACACCCTCGCACTGTAGTTTTTAGCAGGATATTACTCAAACAGGAGTAAATAGTGAATCTGTTTGATTATTTTCATCTGCGGATTAACTGTCGAACTCTAAACTAGAGTGGTTGTGTTCATCGTAATGAAGAAACATGTCAGCCAATGCAACAGTGTGACACATTGATGTGTTCTCTGTATGTTTTTAGACAATGGAGTTTTTAAGGCACAGAGGGATATCAGTCTTTGTCTTTGGTTACACAGATAATACTTGTTAGTAGGTTCAATTCTTTAAAGGCGATTGTTTGACAATAGGAAAAAGCTCATTTCTGTCCACACTCATCTTCGGCATTAGTTGTGACACTCATCTAAAAATCTCTTCAGTAACATTAAAATGATTGTATTATTTGTTATGCAACAAATATTTTAACTTTGCTTTGGATTGTTTTCAGGTTAACTTGGACTAATACTGAATTTAAAGATGGGAAACATAGTTTCTCATAGGACTTCCTGCTGAGCAGAACCTCCCTGTTCATTTTCTCATGCCAGCAGTGAAACAGCACAGTCATTAGCGACGAGATTACATCTGGAATCCGTTTTTTCCTCAGTAATATGGTTAAGTAAATTATATTTTACAAGGACTAACAGTGGTCTGGGCAATGTGAAGTTTATGTTGTGTTGATAGCTTGAGCTTAAGAAGTGCTGATGGGGGGAAAAACTTGTTTTGTAGCACAGTTTAGAAGCTCAAATCTGGCTCCATGGGACTTTTTCAGTACTAGAGCTACATGCAACTTTAATATCCCGTAAGCCATGAATGATTTGTTTTCTGCTGAAAGTGTAATTGCTTTGTTGTTTGTTTTGTCAGTTGTTTGACCTTTTAATCTTTTGTAAACTTGTAGTTTAATTGTTTTACTCTGACCTTCATATTTGTTGTTTTTTTGCATAAAAAAATATGTAATTTTTCTCTTTCTGTAATTTTTTCCTGCAGAAGCTCAAGCAGAAGAACCAGCAGCTGAAGCAGATTATGGACCAGCTCCGCAACCTCATCTGGGAGATCAACTCCATGCTGGCTGTCAGGAGCTGAGCCACACACGCTCGAATAAAAATTCATATATAACACACACACACACACACTCATACATTTACTATAAATAATGGAGAAGAAGATACAGTCGGTAACTGGACATGTGACAGGCTCCCACAGACGAGCAGAGGCTGCACTTTACAGAAGAAATGGGGACTTTGGCAATATCAACCCCGTTTCCTGAAGATGTGAAATAATAAAGGCAAAAAAGAGAGGAGACAAATGAACACACCCACAGCTAGAGAGGTGAGGAGACACCCGATAAAACACTGGGAGAGAGGGTGCCGGTGACATCAGTGTGGACGATGGCAGACAATATTCTGTCTACCTCAATATTCTACAATCAGCATTATGACTAAATTAATCAGAAGAGTTGATATATTATGTTTTATCTATTTGTAGGTACTAGCTCAATAGAGGGATTATGCCTGTAGAGACACATTGATATATTATATCTAATCATTTCATTCTGTATATCTGTTACTTGTCGATTTCATAGTATTAGAAGTGTGTTAAGTCCTAAATTTGAAAGGTTTTTATACGGCCCCTAAAAACTAATAAGAAAGACATACACTGTGGCACAATTATGAATCTTATTCTTACTATATTGATCTGCTTTTTTATTTGATGTAATATGTAAACTCGTAAGTATTCAGCTCTGATTGGACATGGTATTACAATACCTTGTGAAGGATTCTGCTCAACTATAAATCTCGCTGTGATTTTTAAAAAAAGTCAACGCAAGTTTGTGCTGTCGTTTTCATTAATCTGTGTATCTGTTGTGTATCGTGCCTGTTATTTTATCAAGCATCTCAGAGTCACTCCTAAGAAAAGTCTAGGACTAAAAAAACCTCAGTTTAGTAGTTTTATGACACTTGCAGAGACGTGTTGACAATTGTTGGTTGAAATATTTAACAAAGGTAACATTCAAAAGCAGCACTTTTATGTTTATCGGTAAGTGCAAATTGGCATATAAATGCAAAAATATGATGCCAAAACCACTTTTAGAGCTTAGATCTTTTGTTATTTATTAGTAAGCTATTCTTATGAGGCTGTAAGTAAACAATGACAAACCACTCAGCTAGCTTAAACAATAAATGTAGTATATAACATTTAAACTAATTGACAGTTTGATTCAGATGTGTGACATATCCTAGTCAGCCTTAATCCAATCCCATCTCTTTACAATGCCTACATTGCTTGTTCTCGTAAACATGGCTGTGGGCATTAAAAATGAACTATCTTCAAGCTACACGCCCTGTGAACTTCTGTATTCTTACAGGTGGGAAAGATGATTTATTTGGGAGCTGTAGCCCAACCCATACTGACTTTATGAGGTTTATACTGACATCGATATTGAAAATAAAAAAAAATAAAAAATAGTAATATGTTTTTTTTTTTTACGTAACATAAACAATCTTCATACTGAGTGGGACATTTTACAGTGTAAAATTCAACTTGCCAATGCTCTCTATCAAATATACTGACACCGACATATTAGAAATAAGCTAATATCGGCTCATATGTCAACTTGGCTGATTTCTCGGTCTAGCTCTGTTGGGATTTACACTGTAACAATGTAAACGTACCTCTTAAATATAGCTCAGCCATCGGTAATTTTAAACAAATAAACAAATTACTAAATAACTTCTAGATAAATAACTTCACACTGAGTGGTTTGTAAGGTTTGGATCTGAGTTCTGAGATAAAAGTTTGATTTATTACTGCAGAATCTGTTGGCTGACAGATCCAAATCATCACCGTTGGAAAGCTGCATTTTCCCTGCTGTTGCTGTGAGGCTGCGAGGATCTCGGCTTACAGAGAGAGAGTGTGCGCTTGCATCGTGCACAAGGACCATCAAACAATTATTTTAATAAGCTTGTAGTCATTAATGAACACCTCTCCTTCTGTGTGTACACTTCTCTGCCTGATCGCCATTTCCTGGCAACTCCTAACAGGTTAGGAAAGTTGATAAACCGTTTTATTCAGAGGCCCAAAGGTAGGGCCAAAAATGTGTTACTCTGGGAATTTACTGCCAGTTAGGAGTGATATGCTCCTGTGGGATTTATGATAAATACTGTTTACGTTTTGTATTTTTAACCACACACAAAAAAAAGACGGGAGTAAGAGAGACAAAGAAGAATTCACAAAGGACCTCATTCAATACAAACATGACACATGAGCTAAAATCTGAGTACATGTGCACACACACGAACACACCCACTGTCAGGTCACAGATATGCATGAGAATATCAGTGTGATATGGGTGCGTTTAATAATTCAGAGCAAAGCCGAGGTCATATCTACGATGTGTTATGAGGCTATTGTCCTCAGGGAGACGCAGAAGGACAGATGCAGCATTGGGGCAGCGAGAAGGCTTTCAGCAGAGTAAAAAAAAAAAAAAAAAATCAATGCTCTGAGTAGTGCTTAATAAACCCCTCCTCAGTGGTCGAATACAGGGGTGGTTATTATATCTCTGAGGGCAATGCAGCATTGAGGGACTATTATTACTGTACAAATGGAGTGTGTTCTCATTCAGCTGAGGCAGAGGTCAGAGGCTGAGTACTTGTCCATGCACACTCTGTTGCAAATGATGGAGCGAATAAAAATGGACAGGGTTACACTTTTATGTTTATAACGTGCGCACAAAACCAAGCACACACACACACACACACAAACCAATCAGTCCGTGTGTCAGCGTATCCTCTTATGTTGCTGCAGTGTCATCGTTCAGGACAAAATGAATCATCCCGTTGTTTTAATTTACTTTTTTAGTGCACTTACTTTCCCTCAGTCTGTGTTGTTACTTTAACTTGGCCTTACTAAGTGCATGTAGGTGAAGAGACTGATAAGAGACACTGCAGTGTAGTTGGACTTTACTACGTCCTGGTCTGCGAGGGTTTGTGCAAATTGTACAAACCCTGGTCCTTGATTCTGATGAACTCTGACCAAGACTTGATGTTTCAGTCAAGTGCAGACTTTTTCCCACTATTTGCCTGTAACAAACACATTTTCGAGATCTGAGAGAAAACCCTTGAGTCGGCTTGGAATCCGTGCTCACGATGGGTTGTCTAGTTTGAGTGATTTTGAGATGTGATCTGTCTCAGATGCTGCCATTTTTTTTCAAACACACTTGACTTAAAAAGCTGAATAGAAGAATCAAGATGCCCTGTGGTTGGTATGGCTGTCTGTCATTTGAAACTTTTTGATACCTGAGTTTCAGTATCAAAATTATACTTTTGTTGATAACTTACTTTGAGAATATTTTATACAAAAGTTGTTTTTTCATTTAACAAACGAAACTAACAGACATTCGATTCAGATCAGGGCCATATGACTGGTAAGCCTGACCACCAAAATGTAAAGAAATGCTAGAAATTTTTGCACTCATTTAGTCACAATTACATAGTTTGTCCATCAGAAAGCTCTGAATAGTTTATTTTCCAAGCGTAGAACGTTCCCCTCTGTACGTTTCTCTAACGATTCTTTAATAATCCTATCTGCTGTGTTGTTAAATTACTTTTAACTCTCCAAATATTGAGCGGTATTAGCCTCAAAATTGGCCTCAGATGGGCTCTGAATAAGAAATAATTAAACAAGATTATGAATCTTACCACACAGTCGATGCCAGTTTTCCGTTGGTACCCAGCCCTAGTACATATTAGAGACTATCATGAGAGGCAAATCGCAAGTTGTTTTTAAAGCAAACACAGCCTGATTGAAAAAAAAAAAGGCAGGATGAGATTCATTTATCATCAAATATGAGTTTATTTTTTATAAATCATTCTTACAAAATTGGCATTTCTATTTCATTTGTGACCTCTATAAAAGTCTTCTGTTAATTACAAGGTAGGAGGGAGGAGAAGGCATCGGGACAGCTGGGCTTGACCGAGTCCTTGCAGATCAACAGACGTTACTGCTGATTGGTAATGTGATACAGCCAATCACTGATAAATAATCCCAAACAGGAAGTGGTCATACGTTGTCGCCTTTCGCAACAGTGTCCAAACACAAAGATGAAAAGGGGCTGTTCTAATGAGAGAATGGAAGCTGTGACTCATCCAGTGTATGAAGGTAGGGCTGTTGGGGCCCTGCGTGTGGTGCCCTGTCTACTGGAAATAACAAGTCTCGGACAGACAGTGCTCGGCATGTCAAGAACTCGCATGTTGATTAAAAAAAAAGGCACAAATCAAGAACAGACTAGTTTCCAGCACACACCGCCACCACTATAAACACCAACTGCCTGGCACATTTTGGGTAAACCTTCTTCCATCTGTTTTGAAGCACACAATGATAACTTGCATAATGTTCCTCCCCACAGATCAAATGGCGGAGGCGTTTTTTTAGCGGATGCAGAGGTTTTCCCGGTGGCCTTAATCACATCCATCACACTCTGGACTGAGCTCTAGACTCGTTGATACAATGTGCAGCACGCCAACTGAAAGATGGAGCGGGTTTCTGTTGCCAAGTTATCTGACCTGAATTGAAGCTCAACTGTGTCGCAGCCTCAGACCCATTATTGTAATGCATGGGGGGAAGATGTTACAGCAGAATCTGAAAATGTTTCCATCTGGTACAGGGGACCCAGCTGCTTATTATTTTCCCTGTTTCAGTTGGCATAGTCTTTATTGGGACTTTGCAATTTGACTCCTGCGGAGAACCAAGATGGTGCGGCCCAATCCAATTCTAGATCACTGGTGTATGCAATCTTTTAGAGTTAAAACTCTTCTACTGCGACTCTGAAAATGTTATATCTCTCTCGGGGAGTTCTGTATGAGACAGAGCGTGATATATGTTTCCCAGGAAAACCAATGCAGAATGAAACATAATATGAGCTGTATATTGGCATCTTTGTGGATTAATGTGCACAGCGTGTAGAAAATAAACTGAATAAATACCATTAACTCCCCTCAGTGATGCAGCATCAGTCTTATGTTCTCGCCACGTCATCTCAAATCGTACGCAGTCTTTTTTTTTTTTTTTCAAAAAATAAATATATGCCTTTGTACAGTGCTGGGAGTTGCAAGGATTTTGTAAAATATTTGCAATGCTGGGGGCTTTCTTGAGATGATCAACAACAGTGATTCAAGTGATCAAACATAAAAGGCTTGATATGGATTCAAACAATATGGTTCTCTGAAGATGAAATACGGACCAGATGCAGACCGAGTGAGGAGTATGTTTTTCCCAGAATCACATGCGGGTTAACGTGAGTGAACATTTTCTGTTGTGACTCCGCAAAACAGATCATAAATCTCTCCTGGCAAACGAATAACACTCCAAACTTTAAGTCGCAGAATGTAAATACAAACATGATATTCAAAACAATGAAGTGAGAAAAAAAACAACAACCATGATAGTGCTGCTGGGTGTGATATGATATGCTGAAACAGAGTAGCTTTGCTGTGGTTGCGCTTGGATATGACACATAGCATGAACATAAACTTTGTTGACACTGTGAAGGCTTTATAATACATTTTAACATAAACCAGAAGAAAATGAAAACAAATCAATGAAAAAAATAAAACTTAAAACAGTCATTGAATGTGTGACACTGATATTGACGATGCTGATGACAGCTACTGATTAACACGCACGCTGAACAGCTTTGGCTGAGACATTAGGCTGAATGCCTGTTAGACAGAAAGGCCACTAAAAGCATGCCGCTTTTATTCAAGTGTTTGAGAACTAAATGTGAGAGTGGACTGCCTGTGCTCTCGGCCTCATGCTGCACGCTGACCTAA